GCCCTCAGAAGAAGAGGAGGAAGAGGTGGCACATGTTTCAAGTGCTGAGATCAAAGAAATTTTCAGCAAGCGGAGTGAAGTGCAGGTTGTCAGTGCAGGTTTGAGAAACACCACCCTAACAAAACTGTGACCAGCTCAGCTGTGGACATTTTAAATGACAATGTGATATCACATTTTCAGAAAAAGACAAATGTCTCTGGATCGTTATTTTGTGAAAACACCAGCCATCGAGCCTGCAATCGAACCACTTCCCAGGATACAAACACGAGAAAAACACCAGAAATGCCTACGCAGTTGCCCAACGTTATTATGGAATGGGACTCTCCTTCGAAGGAGTAGTCTTCCTTTTCCTCTTCTACCTCCTGTAACTATCAATCGCAAAGGAAGTAAAGTTATAGTGCTATATGTTTTATATGATATATTTTTTGCCACACATAAATCCATAAGAAAAGTCAACAAACCATGTTTCTGAGGCGCGCGAACGGATTAATTGAAATTACATTAATTTCAATGGGAGAAACTGTTTCGACTCGCGAACGGAGTCAAAGAACGAATTAAGTTCGTGACTCGAGGTACCACTGTACAATATTACTCTATAGTCATACAAGGCCAAGAAACAAGTGATGAGCGCTAGATAATAAAAGTGGGCAGCTTTCAGCCAAATCATCGAAAGCTTCAAGAACGTCTGCTATCTGGACAAACTTCATAGTTGAAAACATGCATGCTAGCATCATCTTCACCATGATAAGCTTCGATTAAAAGAGATATCTGAATTTTGCCCATTTGTTGCATGTTTCTACCGTACGCATATTACAGTCGTGCACATTTGTTATGGCTGCTACTGACGACGCTGTACTTTCAAACAGACATAAAGGACATTTATAAAAATAAGTACTTTTTGAACAGCGTTGCGAATATCTTTGATTTCGTTCGTCAAGTTCGTAATCTGAGAAAGCACCTGAAAACGATGACGTGTCAAAACAATTAGAACAGAGGCGACAAAACAGAAACACGCTCACTTCTTTAGAAACCAACAGGAACTGAACATCCTGACCTAGCTTGTACTGCCTGCGTATCACTGATTGCAGAGTTATGTTGAGCTTTTGCACTTTCTATGCATCATGATGTTAAGATCTGTGAACGCATGTAAAGCAGTACACCGAACGGGGCTTACTTCAACAACACCGCGCACGATCTCCTCGTCCGTCTGCGAGCTGTCAGAAGGAACAAATAGCGATTTGGAGGCAGGTGTGACCGTTGAACGACTTTCGGCAGTGTTGTACTGGTCGGTTGCTTGAGCACAGTCTTAAACAACGCCGTGGTGTACGTGCGTCACTGTTTACACTGTGACTTCTTACCTTTGACACTGTTTCTGAGGTCATTAACCTCTGACTGAACGGACATCGTGAAATAAGTAAGCAATATGACGGACATGATAAGCAAAAACAAAAATAATATAACAAACACGGGAAAGCCAAAGGAACGATTCTGCGACCGCAACGCAATGGCTTCGCTCTCCGGCATAGAATGACAACGCTTTTCAGGCCATGCTTTTCTGAGAGGAAAACAAGGACACAGTTAAGGGTTAAGTAGAGACTTCAATACAAACTTAGTTTCTTACTTTAGCCTAAGCTTCTTTTTGTTGGCAGTCGGAGAAATGAGCTCCAAATCCGGAACGTCCGACTCTGATTCAGACAGTGAGTCGATAAGTAGATTTTGATTACTTATATATTTGTCCCCCATTCTGCAGCAACAGCCTAAAGATTGCATAGGTATTATAAGCAAACAAAGTCACGTTTACATGCATGAACGATTAAAGGTGTACACGGACAAGAGCACAAGAATAGTCAAACTATCCCGTACGGTGAAACGTCACGGTATATTAACAGTTGTGAATAACGAAGACATTTCGGTTAAGAGCGAAGGATAAACATACAATAAGGAAACGCCTTGATCAGTCATTAACTAAAACGGTGGCATATATTCAACAGCACTCAGTTTACATCCCATATATACTCATACATAAAATATATTCATTAAATTTAGCATGTTTTCAAAATTTAACGTACAGTTATTTTTATGCATCACCTGCGATAAACGTGAACAGAAGACGGTTTTTCATACTGCTAATTAGAAAACATTTTATTTTAGAATTTGCCAGCGCAACAAAAGATATGTGTTAATAAATTTAGTTTTGTAGCTGGATAACAATCAAATAAAGAGAAAAGCTTTTACTTGGAACTTCGAACAGGCTGTTCGACTCAATGGAATGTTGCAGTTTTTTGCACTAATTCCGGTGTGTGCTATAAATCCATGAAACCACGGAATGCCAGAAAACTCCCCTAGACACCACAGAAACAGAAGCGATTTCGCTTCGCCAACGAAGTACCAACGCAGATAATTACATCTGAATTCAGCGCTGTTTAAAATGTTTGCATATGCAATGTATATGCAAGTCAATGTCAATACGCATAGTTCAGCCAGTCAATGGCATAATCACGCCGATCCACTGCCACTGGAAGCCTTAGCTTATTCATGCCGGTGATGCTAAATTATCCTGGTTTAAAGAACTTCCTAAAGGTATACGAACAAAAGACTAAAAATGTCATAAATTAGTAAAATAACATGCTAATTGATTTATACACATTACGCATACATGAAACAAGACACACAGCATTAAGAACATACCTCCTTATAACAGAATTTTGTGCGCGGACGTGCAGATATGACATTACCGTATCTACTAGAGGATGGGGGTGGAGACATTTCAGCAAAGCTACGGACCCATTACGTTTGAATCCTTAAACTGATAAACTAACCTTGCATCCTTTATTACTCAGTCACCTGTGCCGCTCAACCAGCCGGCCTTTTTGCATGCTTTTGAAAACATTAACAATATACCAGGAAGAGGCCATGGCACGTCGTGAAATCCAGTTTGGAAAAGCACATCCAGGTTATTGACAAACCGGTCGTACGAAGCCTTATAGTACATATGAGAGTAGCTCCCGCAAGAACAGGATTACAGGTAACAAGCAGGGTATTAATGCGACTGACTGGCAAGGTTTGGAGCAAGAAAAACGAGAAGGCATTTACACTGCAAACGATTAAATGCAATGTACTCCTGACCTACTAAGACGGTTCAAACACGGTACTACAGGGAAACCGAGTTAGACGATGTTAAGGGAAAAATATGCTGATAAAGATTTGATGCATAACTCTTTTAAAGCTAGATTATATCTGCAATACTATGTATATTATCATGATATTATGCATATTACTGATAAATTTTAAAAAAATATGATGGGACAGCAATATCCTGAAAACTACCATTTCAAGAAGCGATTTATCCAGAATCTTTTCTTTGATTCAAAGTCATCCATGCTCATCCTCTGCTCATAATGTGAAGAGTCTGCTCTAAAAATCATCATCTAAATTCATCATCTTTCCTGAGCAGCCTTCAATCATTTGGTTTCGGGATGGAGCCAAAAAGTATTTTCAACAGAGAGATTTTCCTTTCAGGAGTAAGGATATGTAGCAAAGAATGCGACCCTCTAACTAAGGTAGGACCTATGGGGAATAAGCAAGGCTGTACTTAATATTTCACCCGTATTTCAACTCCTGCCAACTGTCTGTTGCGAAGGCTGAAGTTGGCCTTCTGGACAGTTGTGGCAACATAGTTAAGCAACATATTACAGACAATTCAAACAAGTTTAAAGTGTTTCATAAACCATAAATATTTCTAAGCCATCAAGAAAGAAGCACGAAATGTTGTATCCCATAATTCGTTGACTTTTTATAAAACACACATGTTCTGATGAAAAGTTTACTCGTTCATCAGAAAACTAAATTTACACATCTTCACAAATGGGAAGAGCGTGGCGCCATGACGACCAGCAAACATTTTCTTCCTCAGCGCGCCATTACTTTTCCCGTCGCATCACCACGTCGTCAAATTCGATGACGTAAGTGGTGCCATTGTGCCAAACGGTAGACACCTTGCAGGGCTACAAAAAATCAAAAGTTCTGTTTGCCATTTTGGCAAGCATATAACTAAACCCTTACGAAGTTGCTTAAACTTAGAACCGACTCGACGATGCCGCCAACGAACGCTGCACAGTTCAAACTACCTGAAACAAGAAGAGGTTAAATTTGCAATCATATCATTAGCACATACAA